AATAAATTGTGGGTTTGCGATTTTGACACTGAAATGGACAATTGCACGAGGTTGGCTAATTCAAAAGTATATCTTCAGTCATAAAAGGTTGAGCGCCCATGATCTGAATCATTCTTTTGCATTTCTGCCTTGATTGAGTGAATGGTGCTCGAAATGTTCAAAGCTTGTACTTTTTTTTTTAATGACTTGAACCTGCTTTAAACTCTTCCACAATTTTATATGTGCCCTGTCTGTTGATTTCCAAACGAAACTAAATTACACACAAGTGGACTACTTAGCTTTTTAAGCCTATCGATTGCATTACTTTGCAGTGCAGAGGTCTGAATACAAAGGCACACCACACGTTACAGATTTATATTCGCTTCACATTTTGAAAGCCTTCGATCAGTTTCGCTCCACTTCACAATTTCATGCCACTTTATGTCAGTCTATCACATAAATTCTCAGCAAAATACACGTTTCCGCGTTTTAACGGTCACAAAATGTGGCAACCGTTAAAGGGTTTTGAATACTTTTTCAAAGCACTGTCCTTCAGCGACAAACATTTATGTATAAAATCTGTACAGCTGTAAATGAACTTTTGCAAACACTTTCAGTTAGCTTCTAGGAGTACTGACCTTAACTGGGCCGGCTGCTTTATCTTTCGACTCCACAAACACTGACTTCAAATTTAACAATAGAGGATCGTTCTTCTGGTGGACAGATCCCGATACTTCTGCCGAAAATGTATTTGCTGTGGTGGGCAAAAGGACATACTCTCAATTTCGGAATTAGGAAACGCATGACCCCATGTTTTTCTCCTTCCGACCACCAATCAGTCAACGAAAGCCTCCATACTCTTACCGTCATTTTGACCAGTGGAGGTCGGTTGAGTGAGCTGGTGCCTCGGCGCAGACCGAGGCTTTTCCTTCGAAATTTCTCGCTCAATCCTGTTTTCTAGATTGAAATTTCTAAACATTCGCACGACCCGTGCACCCATTTTACCCAACACGATTCTTCGTCTCTATTAGTGGGCAGCAAACAATAGTGAAATGTTAATTAACGCCATCTAGTGGATTGGAGTTTTCAGTCGCTCAGGCTGCTTCTCCTCACTCGCTCTGAAGAGAATCGCTGGTATGCACAATAGATATTTCAAATGGGTGTTCAAATGGTTGCCCTTAGCCCTCCCCAATCTGCAGTGATTTCAAGGCTTTTTTGTGATGACTCAAACCAGAGTTTGGCAATCCGCTTTTTGGCGTGTAGCTTGTTTTTTTTTTTCTTTATCTCAGCCTATCAACGCCATGGCAGGGTTGCGTTGGAATATGTCTTGCCACGTTCTCGTTTCACTTTGTGTTTGAAACGGTGACCAATCGTGACAAAAATCCATGCGCACGTTTCTACTCGTCTACTTCAACCTGTGAATATATAAAAGCAATTTGCACAACATTTTGACTTTATTGGCATAAAATGTCAGCTCCTATGAGCAAAAACCATAATCACGTCCACAAAATGAACAATATTGTGCTGATCTATTGTTTTTACAGGCTACAGTGGACAACAGTGAGCAACACTAAAATTTTATTTACGTCCTTTTAGGCAGGTAGTCATGGATACTAGCTCCGGCTAGCACTCTTGGCTAATAACACTGCATGCAGCTTGGCCGCTAAACAGACGAGTTTAGCAGAACTAGGTCATCTTCTTTCCAGCCAGACATGGGCCTCCGTGTTGCAAACGGACACCATCCAGGCAGACGAGAAGCTCCGTGCACGCCGCCAGAACTGCCAGTAAGGCAGCTTGGAGCACCACATTCTCCACCAGGGATGCAGTGGCGTCGCTGTGTGAGTTGGCCGACTAGGTCACGGGTCGGCAACACAAAATGTTGAAAGAAAATTCTCCCCAAAACACTGGGAAACATTCATTATGTGTTTCTCACATTCATTACATGTTTCTCACGGGAGACGGGTGAAGATGGGGATGATTTGGGAGGCGTCATCCCCCCTACAATGGACTTAACACCACCCCTGGTTCACACATTAAGAAACCAAAGTCAAGAAAATGCGTGCAGTTGCAGTATTTTATTTGCAAATGATAAAAACTGACTTAAAAAATGGGAATTGCTTATTGCACATAATTTAAAGGTATTACATTTCATATTGCATGTGTTCTGAACACTGCCAGCATGTCACTGAGCAATGCACAGGCCAACAAACTTGCTTCGGGACACAACACAATTCACGTTGTGTTGCGAATATGCTGGGTGTGTGTCAATTTGGATTTAATCTGTGTAGTGAATCTTTAAACCTGAGAAAAGAAATGGGATAAATAATAACTGTATTTTTAACTATTATTTCTTATTATTCTGAAGGGCTATGTAAAATGTTTGATTTCTAATGCTCAATGTACAATGTCAAGTAGTACACCAAATGTGTGTAGCGTACTGAATTGTAATGGGCAAAATTCCATTGGTGGAACATAGTTTAGTTACCTCCTAAATATAACATTTTAGCTACGTCTGAAATCTATCCATCCACACAAATGTGTGTGTGTTTAAATAACCTGTCCTCATGAAATACACTTTGGCAGACTATAAACCACAACATAGAAATAATATGTCAAAGGAAAGAGCGCAATCACAGCAAAGTGGAATTACTCATCACACATTCGGCTAAATTGTCAAAATAATCAACACCCAATGTGCAAAGCCGAAACCGAAACATAGTGAAGTGTGGAGTAAGTAAACAAAACTCGTGAGTGGATGAGTTATTTTTTTTAATACAATACTTCAAACCCAAACCGCAAAGAGGGAGTGTGGACAGTCAACCAGCAAATCTAAAAAGAGAACCACCGGAGTTTGCTTTGTTCAGTGTGCGAGAAGAGGCGAGAGCTCTAGCAGGACAACTTGTGGCTGATCACAATGAGCTCCGAAAGATTCCATAAGAATGCATGAAAGTGTTGCCGATAAAGCTGGGGAAGTGTGTTTTAGCCCAGGGGGATTACTTAGAATGGAAAAACTTTCAGTTTATATATTGCAATGAAAAATTTTTTGTGGTGAGTGTGACATCAGTCCTATAACTTTTCTGACACACCTCATATATTAACGCGGACATGGCATCAGTGTACTTGTTGTACTATATTAATATCTACTGTTCCAGCTCGCTAGAAAGCAAATTCATTTGAAACGTTCCAAATTTCCTTGCGATGAGAAAAAAACAAAACATTAAAAGTGTTGGAGAATGTTTGGGGTAGGTTTGCGGCCTTGAACGAACCCTGACGAGAACTCAGCATACGCTAACGTCATCAGTGGGAAACAGACTTTAAAAGGTAAGTTACTGTGTTTTACACATGACAACCAGTTCCATTTGGATGTCACGCGGGGCTCGGGGTAATCACAGGAAGTCAACGTGTGTGTCATGGTTTAACGCTAGCCTGAAGACGAGAGTGTTGGAATCCATTGTCCTCAGCAATCTACCGTGTGTCCCCTCACCCTGTTGTTTTTGGTGACCTTTGCCTTAATTCAGTGTGGGCTGGGCGTCTCCCCAATCATTGCACCTGTCTCACCGACACACCTGCCAGTCTTCACCTCGTCAGCCACACTCTCCTCTGCAGAATAAAGGCGAGTCTGATGAGCCACCCGTTAGCTAGCTAGCTTCCCAGCCGTACTCGCTGCTGCCTAGCCGCTACGTTCTAGCTGCTACGTTCTAGCCTTGCTTTACACCTCTATTTGGCTCCTCTGACTGCTTTGGTTCCTGACTCTTAGACCTGTTGTCTTGTCCAGGGAAGCCAAGACAACAAGTATTATAAAAAACGATGAGATTTATTTGAGAAAGAAAAAAAAACATGGAGGGACACCGTTCACAGATCTGTCAAGAGTGTCTTCTCCACGTCTTCTCCCCCTCCGCGTCTTGCGCTCTCATTTTATTTTGTTGGGAGGTGGTGAAGGTCAGTGCAATCAGCATTTTGAGCAGCTACACAGAGTACAGACTAGTGCATGTGTAGGCAACTTTGCTTATCTGCAAAATAACTGGTCATCAGTCAAAGGTACGGTCAGCATTCAATAGTACGAACAGTTACTTCCATTTAGCGCTGTTATATGTCAAATTCCCATTACGCTGTCCCTCTTCCTGACAATAAAACCTGTTCTGAGTTCATTGTGTCTGCCTGTGGGTCCTGTGCTCATCTCTAGCAAAGCCTAACAGAGAGGGGTTTTGGTTCGAGTGTGTTTGTGTGAAAGCTCATTTCCTACCTCGGTATGGTTCCTAATTTAGATTGCATTTGTGCTAGCACATTAAAGACTAGAGTCCTGTTTTGGTTTTAATTTTTTCATTAAAAAAAAAGAGTATTAAAGCAACAAGTTTTTCCTCATGAGGTTGTAGGGTGAAAAAAAACTGAACTAGATCCTTTTTGAGATATTAAAAAACTGGACAAGTTCATGAAAAAACTCAACTTTGAACTAGTTTGCATCGGAAATGACCTTGCCCAACACTGCCTGCCATCAATGCCACCCGAAGAGTTTCAGTTGGTGCGTTGCGACTCGCCTTTCCAGCTCGACAAGCCCACTCACGATGTTAGCATTGAATGTGAGAGCAGGATGAGTAGAGGTACAGTAAGATCAGGCAGTCGATTGTAAGGATGGTATAAAAACATCTCTGTGTGTGTATGCTTCGGCCTCTGTGAAAGCGAGTCAATAAGACCGCCAGTAGCAAAAAGAAAGTGGCCGTGTTCAAGAGGAGAAACAGTCTTATGGAAGAGGCCGTGCTGGCGACGCGCTCGCTCCCGGTCGTCACCAACATATTGACCTCTTTAAATTTTCGGCCTTTCACAAAGCCGCCCTTCCTGTTTTTATGGCTATCCGCATAGTCTATAAAGGCTTGCGAGTCTGTATCTCCCTCTTCTGGACTGTCCTCATATACACGCTTCGATGTCCTCTGCCTCACTTTCTTTTCACTGATCTCGATCTGTGTAAAAATGTCAGGCAGATTTTCCGAGAGCTTCTCTCCAAAGTTCATTTTCTTTCCCATCTTATCCTTGGCGTGTTTCTTGGACAAGGCGAACATCTTCTCGATGACCTCCTCTGTTTTCTTTTTATCGGAGAACTGGAGCAGGCGTTCTGCAGTCTTACGAAAGCTGTCGGTATTCAGTACCTTTCCAAGAATATGGCGTTCCATCTGCTGAAAGACTGGTTTGACATGCTGAAGATTGTCCTCCATCAGGTTGACATATTCCTCGACTTCCGGAGGTGAGCTGCCGGCTGGAGCTGACCTTTTCTCAAATACGATCTTCTTTTGGTCCATCATCACCATGGCAAAAAGAGGCTTGCTGGTGACTTCGCCAGTCAGCAGGTAAATTGTGTAAGCGTGCTCCTTGGTGGTCAGGTAAATATCCACTCTTTGGTCATCACCACGCAGGCTGAAGCTGGTAAGAGTCACACCCGGTCCAAAAAATATGTAGGCGACTCGGGTGTGAGGAGATCTTAATGGCATTGTGACGTTCACATAATTCGAGCCATTATATGGATACCCCCGTGGATAACGCCAGTAACCGACGACACCTCGATGACTGTAACCTGTGTCATCCATCCAGAACATTTGATATTTGTCTCCATCGTGCGATACAAATGCTCCATGCATGTTGTTGACTTTTATATCCTTGAATGGCAGTTCTGTATTGTGAAAGAATGTGCTCATGGCCCTGGATGGACTATCGGGATCCAAATGGATATGGTCCACCACAAGTAAAAGCTGCGGGTGAAGGAGGAGGACGTTTCTCTGGAATTTTCGGATTTTCAGGTCTGGATTGTAGGCGGAATGTCCTTCCCCGCGAATGAAAACCATTCCATGTCTCTCCATGGCTGCCTCGACTTTGCCACGAGCGTCAGCAGCAGGCCCCGCTTTGTATTTCAGCCACTTGGAGTCACAGGCTTCTGTTACCTGGCCAGCCCACGGCTTAAAACAACTCCCTGTGAGGGCCGGACCAAACAATACTGCATTATTCAACAAAGTGTATTTGGGTCCGTACAGTGCCTCAGTGATGAATGGAATCCCATTGGGCACAAAGGTGAAAGTGTTCTGATCAGGGTGTTCATGGCCAGCATTGAAGTTTCTCCACCCTTTAATCCATTCTTTGTATTTGCTCTTGTGAACAATATCAAAAATTGCACGTCCCCCGAGCTTCCCTGACTTGAAGGAAAGAAAGGAGTGGTTGGTGCCAGTCGGTAAAGCGCTGCCATAGGTCACCACACCCCAGTCCTCGAAATAATGCAGCCGAGATGTCCCAAAATCCGACGGGGGCTTCGGAATAAGACCCGGGTCATACCTAAAACAAAAATAGAATTGAAGACCGCACGATAATATTAGGGGGTAAAACAGATTTAAAATGAAATACGGTGGTACCGCTACTTACAAAATTAATTGGTTCTGGAAGAAATTTCTGAACAAGAAAATGTTATAAGTAGAGATGCGTTTTCCATGTAAATGCCATTATCCGTTCCACCCTCCCCCCAAATAAATTCAGACATAAATGTTTTCTAAAGCATAAAAATGCATCAAAATATGTAACAAATATATGTTACAATTAGATTATTGGACAATAAATGAGGGTTGTGTATAATGTAAAAAAAACAAGAATAAACAAATATATGTTACAATTAGATTATTGCACAATAAACAAGGGTTGTGTATAATGTAAAAAACCAAGAATAAATAATAAAAATTATGGTCATTTAACTTTTAACTGCGTCCTCATCGTTTTTTGCCCCCTGTAGTTCATGTTCTCTCTCAGAAGTGGTTTTTGCCTGGCGTTTTGTAAACAACTGATCCAAGGATGCTTTTGTCGGCTTTTAACAATTCTTCAAAAATGTCCAAAGCAAACATCAGCATAGTGAGCGATCACCCAACTGGTGAACACGTTTTCTGGGTGATTCACATTTACGAAAAATATCAGAAAACCTCATGGCCCGAGGGGCGAATGACGAGGACGCTGCATAGACACATATACATCGATGTACACACATAGATATATATGTCCGATCGAGGTCCCTCTTAGCCAATGGGATGCCAGGAAGATGCTTAGTAATAGCCAATGGCAGAACAGCTTTAAGTTTGTTGCGTTCAGGAAACTCGGTGCTGCGCAGCGCCGAGTTTCCTACCTTTCGTATCTTGAAATTTCTTTCGTAACTTGAGGCAATATTTTCCTGTTGAGGTGTTCCGTAACTTGAAAATTTCGTATGAAGAAACGTTCGCAAGTAGAGGTACCACTTTATGCTTCAACTTTCAAATTTAGTCTCTCTCTACTATATATATATACATACACAGAGAGAGAGAGAGAGAGAGAGAGAGAGAGAGAGAGAGATATTGCTAATGGTATGGTGGTACACACTCCTGACTCGTGTGCGGGCAGCGTGGGATCGGTTCTCAATTGTCTGTTGGTGTGAGTGTGAGCGCGTATGGTTGTTTGTCTATGTGTGCCCTGCGATTGGCTGGCAACCAGTTCAGGGTGTCCCTCACCTCCTGCCCGATGACAGCTGGGATAGGCCCCAGCGAGCCTTGTGAGGACAAGAGGATCAGAAAATGGATGGATGGATGGATATACACAGTACACACACACACACACACACACACACACACACACACACACACACACACACAGGCACACACGTATTCCAAAGCTCACCAGATGAATTCTGTGTGGAGAGTACACCATCGCTGGCCTTTGCCAGCTTGTCCAACGCCATCTGTCACTCTGTTTTGATGAATCATATCGGCCAGCCAGTTCCCACTACCGTTACGCATTACAAAACGGTCCAAGAAAACCAGCTGGCTTTCCGGTCCGTAAAACCAGTTGTAATTTGAATCAGCAATAGCAACAGTTCTCTGAAATCCTAAAAAAAAAAAAAAAAAAAGTTTTCATCGACAGCAACAAATTTGAAGTGCATTTTATAACAACACAGGTTGAAAATAAAGCAACAAAATTGATATGATGATGTGCAAATTACCAGGAAGGATGGTCCTGTACAGGAAATTGAAGTGTTTTAGGAGCCAAGGGTGGTCGAAGTGGCTTATAGAAAAGTGACGCTGCACCAGAAACATGTACTGGAACAGAGAGCGGGTTGTGTAAGTCCCATAGGCCACTCCCTCATACAGGGATCCGTCTGTGACATCCTGAAGAAGAACCATTGATTTCTCCATGATGGACAAGACTTGCTTTGTCCACAGGTAAGCCTCCTGCAGATAACCTTGAAAACAGGCATGTTCAACTCAGACTAACATTCTGTTCATTTGCACTATAAATGGGTGTCAAACAAACATCCGGTCCGGGTCTCGAAAGGAATCATATCTTTTTTTTTTTTTTGTATTGTATGAAAAAAAAAATCTACAAACAAAAAATAAAAAACACAGGATTGTTAAATTTGGGGAATAAATACTAGTGAGCAGACTGTCAAGTACAGATTCACACATGCATCGTCGAGAGCAGGGGTCCCCAACCGCCGGTCCGCGGACCGGTACCGGTCCGCAGGGCATTTGGTGCCAGGCCGCACAGAAAGAACTTGCCTTATTTCTGTTTTATTTATTTCGGAACACGAAAGATGTTTTATTTTGAAAAATTACCGGATTCGCTTTTACATCCGTCTGTGTCACGCTTGACTCACGTCAAGCCACACTTCTCGGTCACGTGACCAATGACGCTCAAAAACAAAACACTGAAGCCCGCAAAATGAGTAAAAATGCTGCTTGGAGATCACAAATGACAGTGGCCATAAAAGTACGTTCGAAACAACTGGATCAAAGTTATGGCTGAATACTCTGAGATCGCCACAATAGCGCTGTTGCTATTTCCAACATCCTACCTGTGTGAGGTGGGGAGTTTCTGCAGAAACGGCGACTAAAACAAAATTACGAAGTAGACTGGACATAAACCACACACTTGAGGTGTCATTGTCTCCTATTACCCCGAGATGGGACTGTCTGATTGCAGAAAATCAAGCTTGGGCTGTGGTGAGTCGTCATTTTCATGCACTTTGAATTTGCGTTGTATCGTATTTTGAAGACATTAAACATTACCAGAGCGATAAGAGTGTTGCGACCAGATTAGACGCTCCTTGTGTTTATTATTATATTTCGAAAACACCACAGTTTTCATGCAGCTCTTACCATATTATTTTGTTGTATTAATTCGCCACACCTTAAATGCCGGTCCCTGAAAATATTGTCTGACTTAAACCGGTCCGTGGGGCAAAAAAGGTTGGGGACCCCTGGTCTAGAGTACATTCAGAGTCCCTGAATGGGCTGCAGAAAGTTCGTGCTCTCATTTCTCTCTGTGATGAAGCCATGAGTGCATCTTTCATCACGGAAAAGACTGAAGAGGAGACTTTATCAGACACAGTATTTAACAGAGCGCCTTTAAGCGGATAGATGAGGAGGTATCTGAAGATGTGGCGGAATACAACTCAAAGCACGATGCATCGGCTTCAAATGAAGAAAACCCAAAAGAAGAAAACAAAAAAAATGGCAAGATAACAATCCACATCAGTATAAGACTAACAGCATGATGGGAGCACGAAATATCTTATGAATGATTTCATGTTGCACAAGAGCGACACAAGTTCTTAATTTACCACTCTGTCTTGATAGTCACGCGATCTCTTGCAGTACCTTGACGACATTTTATGAGGAAAAATGGAGACAAGAGGAAGGTTAACCCTTTCATGGACAGCGGCCATGACAGTGGACAGCTTATCATGTTATCAGGTTACAGGGTACATGAAAGGGTGAATGACATGTTATGAAATCCGAACTTCATGGCTATTTGAATGATCACTGAGCAATGCTGTGTTATTTCTTTCTTTTCTGTCTATGTGTAAAGAGACCTGGTCATATGTGAACTTGAATTGTATGTACCTATTTGGAGAAAATAGGATGTACAGATGCATTTTAAATTACATTCATCCATTTTCAATACCGCCTATCCTGTTTAGGGTCGCAGGGTAGCTGATTTCGGGCAAAGGGCGGACTACATCCTGAAATGGGTACCAGTTGGTTGCAGCGCCCATCAGGAGACCAACCACCATTAACACGATTGGCACTGCCACAGAGTGGGAAAATGAATCCAAGCTGCCTGAACCAAAGTCAGAATATTTTTTCCTTGCCGTGTCATATTTAGTTCTCCATACATCCAATAATTTGTATGTATGTGTGTGTGTGTATATATACACACACACACACACACACACACACACACACAACTGCCCTGTGTCAACCGTCGAGACCTTCAAGTTCTTGGGAATCACAGTCTCTCAGGACATGAAGTGGGAGGCCAACATGAACTTCATCCTGAAAAAGACCCAGCAGAGGAAGGATGTACTTCCTGAGGCTGCTGAGGAAGCACGGCCTGCCACGGGAGCTGCTTAGACAGTTCTACACAGCAGTCATCGAATCAGTCCTGTGTTCCTCTATCACAGTTTGGTTTGGGGCCGCCACAATAAAGGACAAAATCCGACTGCAACGGACAGTTAGGACTGCGAAAAAAAATCAGCGGGACCGCTCTACCCACTATTGAGGACTTGCACACTGCAAGAACCAAGACAAGGGCACGGAAAATCCTGCTGGACCCACCACACCCTCCCCATCACCTTTTCCAGCTAGTCATCACCTCAGGCAAGCGCGACTGAACCATGCGCACCAAAACCAGCAGATATAATACAAAGCCTTACTGATCTAATTGACTGACAATTACAATTAAAACTAACTTGAGGCCCTTGAACACAATAGGCCATCCTTCCATACCGAATAATTCTATGAGCAATAATTATGTAAGACAACCGCACATCTATATGTTATCGTTCGGGAAAAGCCGCATTCCACAGTCACCCGTATGATCCTCTCGTCAAAGTCCTCCAAAACCGCTCTCCCCCGGTGTGGAAAAAAAAAAAAAAGGTCCAATGCATTAAATATTCTCTTATGTTGAACCTCCCCTCTCAGCGTCAGGCTGAATTCCCGAAGTGACATTCGGCATACAGCCGGGCTTCCTCCGGATCCGTAGAGAGCTTTTCCTTTCCGTCATGAAACACGTAATTTCGGTGGATACAGTAATCTAAACCTGACCCCGGGCTTGTCGTGCAGAATCTTCTTGGCGGGGGTGAAAGCCGCCCATCATCTAACCACTTCCGATGGGAGATCTCTGACAATCTGGATGCGCAGGCCCCGGTATGAGAGATCTTTAATTGCCATTGTTTTCCGTATTATGTCATCATAAGCATGACAGTAATGTATCCTCACAATAAGGTGTCCAAGTTGTCTCGAGGTCTCTCTCATTTAATGCGGATCGGCAGTGGTTTGTATTCTGACCTGTAGCGAACCGTAGCTAGTCAGTTTGGAAGAGCACCAAGACCACCTCAAAAAGTGGATCTAGATCCGGTTGTTTAGCCCGCACAAGCATTCGTTAATGTGTATTCACACATCAATAAAAGGCCCGGACTGGTATGGGAAACAAAACCTACAGACCAAACAGCGTCGGTGTGAATACATCCAAAAGTCCATGCCAATATGGTGCCGCTGCGCGCAACTTCAGAAATAAAGAGTGAGCCGTTTGTCAACACGGCTTTAGTGTTATATTTGAACCAGCGCCTAATGCTGTGCCCACATTTCCCCATGTGGAGATGGAAAAAAAGTGTACGTTGTACACGTGCAACCAGCCCACGTCACCTCGACAATGTTTATTATAAATACTGATACCGGGGGTAAACATTTTCACGAGCGCACACGAGTATTGGCTCCCATTCACTTATATCATCCTCAAACGGCGCTACATTAGTTGGAAGTGGGATTGAATTGCTTTGTTCTTTTAAACTGTAACAACAGATATATTTGCAATACACAAAAAAATATATTCAGGTATATTATTATTATCAGTATCGGTATCGGCCATACAAAGCGGGAAATTATTGATTGTCTGTATCCGTTGAAATTTTTGTGTCATGCATCACGATAAATCACTCAAGGTTATAATAACATGTTGTGTATCCAAGATCAGGAATTTTGCGAAATAAAAATATGAGTATCAAGATTTTGACTACCCTGATTCAACTCTATACCTACCACCACCAAACCAAACTTGCTGCAATCATGTAACGTGGCCTAAGGTATACATTAGTGGACAATATGCAGTATATGCAATGTGATGAGGAATGAGGTAAACACTTTTTTCATTGGTTGCCACTCTGTCATCCTGTAGGCTAAAAAGGCACATTAACACATTCTTACTGACCTTGAGTCATATAAACCAGGCTTCCTGTGAGCAAAGCCACACAATTAGTTGGCTGATGGTTGTGTAGGTATTGAAATCCCCAGCCACGGCTATAGGATTTCTCATACATAAGATGAGATATCTTGCCGATCACCTGGAGAAATCGCTCCTGTTGATCCTTGCTCAAGTATTCAAACAGGAAGTCATAAGCTGTGGCAAACCCAACCAAAGAGTGTGCCACAGGAACTTCATCCCAGGGGGCATCTTTCACCAACCTGCAGGACAAAACAGGATTTTTTTTATCAGCACAGCTATGAGTTTGGTTTGTTAAGTAGTAATGAAGACTTTAGGCTCCTCCTAAAAGCGCTCGCCAATGTGAGTCACTCATGATTCATCTGGCAGAGTTTTCACAGTTGATGCCTTTCGTGATGCAAGCCTCCCATCTATCTCAAGTTGCAGAGTGTTGGGGCATTTTCCGGGAATCAAACCAGCAACATCTGACTGAAAGGACACGTGCGTATGCGCCGTCAAATTGAAATGAGAGTCGCCGCTTGGAATTGAAGCGGATTTACATGGGACAGGAGAAGTGAACCGATCACTTTTTTTCGTCAATGGACACTACAGCTTCTTGTTTACTCTCAAACTTAGCTTGTAGCAGACGTGTGCACATTTTGAGCATGACGTCTCTGATCCACTGGTAAAAGGACACTTTGATTCTCTCCTCTTTGATCTTGAATTGCTTCAAACACCAAATCATACGCAGGAAAAAATGGTTAAGATTGCATGACTGTCCGTATGTTATGTGCTGTTATGTTACTTTA